ATTAATTTTTTAAACTGTTATAAGACATTTAATATTGCAAATTCCTTGTGTTTCCATATGAAATGACAGGTGTATTTCCCAAAATACTGAAAATTAATATATTTCCTTTAAACAAGTACATGTAGTTTAGTTTCTTCAGTTTAGAAATACAAATATCATTATCTTTTGATTAATTTTAAACAGATTTTAAGTACATGTATTTTAAAATAGTAAAGGACAACTCTTGAAAGATGTATATTTTGATAACAAAAGCCTGTTCTTGAAATAAAAGTGAGAAAACTGTAAAAAAAAAAAAAGATATGTGCTGAAATATACAGATTAATCGATTGTTAAAATCTCCAATCGATTGTCTAGAATCGACAGCCTTTCCGACCGATCATCGATTATAAATCGATCATCGTGACAACACTACCTAGACTATTCCAAATTGTTTCAAATGTTTAAGATTTATCCAAAAAATTAGCTAAATTTTATTTCTATAGACTGACTATGACATGATTGATTACCTGAATGAACTAAGAGAAGGTTGTCTAGAAGCTTACACAGGAATTGTGCAGGGATTAAAAGGAGACGGGGAACAACCAAATGGTGGGTATAGTGACAGTTAACTTGAAAAGGAATCAAACAACTGTAGTTATAGATGCAAAAAAATTATTTCAAAATAATCTACCAAGATCTTCCCCTTATAAAGATCAGTAAAAATGTATCTCTTATAAAAGATAACTGATTTCGTCAATCTCCTTCAAATAGCAAGACATTTCAACATTATTACAACAATATAAGAAATTAGCAAACTTTTTACATAATCATAAATTCATGATATAATTTTGTATTCCAGCTGATGTGAATCTAGTACAACCCCATGTTGGTCATATAATGTCCTTTATAGAACATATAGCATTGGATGAGGATCATTCAGATGAAAATATATCAGCCTGTTGTGGTCTTATTGGGTAAGGTTACTCAGATGTCATTAAATTGGCATTTTTAATAAATATGAAGACATACAGTGATATGAAGGATCTAAAGATGGAAAAATGTTGTGTAAATAGAAACTGAGAAAACGATATTTCTGAGGTAGTAAAATGAACATTTAAAATGGCAGTCAGTTGTGAAGTATGCGAGCTCCAGGGAGCATGTTTTATTAGTGTTTAATGAGATACATGTGATTTTTCAGGGATTTGTGTACAGCATTTGGAGCAGGTATGCTGCCACTTGTTGACAAAGAATCCATCCAAGGATTGCTAACCAAAGGCCGACGGTCCAAAGCATCCAAGGCCAAAACTCTAGCCACATGGGCTACTAAAGAAATACGCAAACTAAAAAATGCCTCATGGTAAGTTGATGGTTTTCTTTTGGCCCAGAAATATTTTGTATACTGATTAGAATATTTTAGATAATGATGTCAGTAGACAAGGGTTACATATGAGAAATGATGCAAAGTTGCTGCTTTGTTATATTTACTAGATTTATTTGCAGATCTTAAAGATTTTGTCCGAAGATGGATCAAGTTTGCCACTTCATGCAGTTAACTTTGACTTCAGTTTAACATTAAGCCAGAATGTACATTAGAAAGTGGGACATCATTTCAATGAGTAAACTTGGCCTTTTTTTTTTTTTTTTTTTTTTTTTTTTTTTGCAGATGACAGACTGTGAAACAGAAGGATTTCTGTGTTGGGATTTAACATCAGTTGACAGTCGAAGCTATAAAGTGAGGTGTGTGAGGGAGAGACTTGCTAAACACTTCTATCCGCGAGAGAGGGGAGCGAGTGAGGGGAGAGAGACATCTCAAATTGTTTACCCACAACAAAAAATAAACAAACAAAAAATAGCCCCCACCATACACTGGAAACACTGAGGTATCACTGAGGGATAAAGACGAGGAGTCCGCGTTACCACCTAGTCTTTCAATGTTTACACTGCAAACAAAACATGCATGGCCTTTTCCAGTTTGAAAATTTTTGTATTATGTATACAAAGTATTTATGAAACAAATGCCCAGATCTATTTTTTCCCTATTATAAATGGTGCAAAATGTATTTTAATTACTACAATCATGAAGTGCTATTTCTATGCTCCGACAATATTTTACTGGCAAAGATTTAGTATATGTCTTTTTAGTTGAAAGCGAAAATTTTGAAAAATGGCAAGAATTGAAAGTACCTTTGATTTAAGGTATCCTCTTTAAGAGATAGTGACGTCTTGCTGAAATGAACCTTGAGAAATCAAATTATTTTTCTTTTGATATGGCTTTTGGTTAATCAATCCTGGCATGGGCTAGTGCACATGTGCCAAATGTTTTTGGCTTCCTATACAGGCAGTGGCAACCCAGTTGTTCAATTTTACACAAATAAAACATAACACATTCATTACAGACAAAATTGTGAGAGAGTTTTCACATAAAAGATTTATTACTTGTAATGCATGTTACAGCATTGACACTTTGTTTTGCATTTTTTATGTTCCTCTATCCTTTGGCTGTACTGAGCAGCAGTATAAAAAAAAAACCAAACCTATAAATTTAAATTGATGAGATTTTGATGTAAATTTATTATATGAAGACAGATTAATTCAGAGCATTTTTGGTGACCCAAGAAAATCATTGGTTGTTAATGGCTTAAAAGCTGGAATAGTGCTAATTTTATTGTTTATTTTGTTTGTAGAAAAGGGGGGAGGGTGAAAAATGTTACAATAAATTGATTTGCATTAGCAATGATTGTCTGTTTTATTTGTATTTCTATATATTGGTTGTGGCCGTAGTAGAGACTTGATTAAAAGTAAAATAGTGAAAGGTAAAGGTCAGTTATTCACAATTCTATAACTGTGTAACACTATTTTCTGGATGATATCATTAAAGGTTATCGATATATGATATTGTCATATTGAAGTTTTAAATCGCACATTCCTCATTCCATTGAAAAACCATATTGATCTTGGTCAAGATGGAAAGTTGCAAAAATAAATGTACATATTAGACAACCACAAATCATCTGGATATCAGAAAGCATATCTAGAAAAGTCCAATAAATATAATTTTTTGATGCTTTTCTACTTATTTGCTCACCTGAGCTGAAGACTCAAGTGAGATTTTCTGATCAAAATTTGTCTGTTATCTGTTGTTGTAAACTTTTCACATTTTCATCTTTTTCTCAAGAACCATTAGGCCAATTTCAACTAAACTTGCCACAAAGTATCCTTGGGTGAAGGGGATTCAAGTTAGCTCAAATGAAGGGCCATGCCCTATTCCAAGAGATGATAATTATGAATTGGCAAAAAATTAATGGCATCTTTTAAAAATCTTTTCTCAAGAACCACTGGACCAGGAAAGATAAAACTCATATGGAATTATTCTCAGGTGGTGCTAAAAACATGACCCATGAGGGTAGGGTGGGTCCACAATGGCTGATCAAAGTTTTACAAAGGAATATATAGGAAAAATCTTTTTTCTCAAGAACAGCAAAGCCTTGATTGGAGATATTTATAAATTGGAAGCATCCTTAGGTTGTGTAGATTGAAGTTTGGTCATAACATGACCCCCGGGGTAGGGGTGTGGCCACAATAGCTGATCAAAGTTTTTCGAGTTTTACATAGGAATATATAGGAAAAATCTTTAAAAAATTTCTTCTCAAGAACTGTGAAGTCATTATTGGTCATATTTATATGGAAGCATCTGCAGGTTCAAGTTTGTTCAAATCATGACCCTTGGGGATAGGGTGGGCCCACAATAGACTATCAAGGGTTAACAGGAATACTCGTATATAAGAAAAAATCTCATGAATATCAAAGCCATGGTTGGTCATACATGTATTTATATGGAAGTATCCTCAGGCTGTGAAGATTCAAGTTTATTCAAAATCATGACCCACTGGGTAGGATTGAACCACAATGGATGATTCAAGTTTAACATAAGAGTATATAGGAAAAATCTTCGCAAGAACAGCAAAGCCATGGTTTGTCATTTTATTTGGAAGCATCCTCAGATAGTGTAGATTTATGTTCAAATTGTACCCCTCCCCCTTACCCTCAACATGAGTTGTCCCAACCTTCACCTAAAAGGCCTGCCTTTTAGGTGAAGATTGGGACAACTCATGTGATAAGCTTTTTAATACTAAACTGATTTTTGCTTTTTTCCTAGCCACAGTACTCAGGTGAGCGATGTAGCCCTTGGGCCTCTTGTTTTTTTTTTCTTTTTTGTTTAAAATGGGGAATTCACATAATTTTACTTTTCTAATTACCCTGGAAGTATCATGCTTTTCTATATCTTTTCTTTTTTTAATTGCAATAACTTTTTCGAAATCAGAATGTCAAAGATCAAGGTCAGAAATTTATATAATTATTAAATGGTTGATTCGGATCATGACTAGTTCTCGGTTTTTGTTACAAAATTTTATTTTTTTAAAAGAGTCCAATGATTTTGAGGTCGAATTTGATTGATTTCATGTTGTTTAATGTCCCTCGAGAGAATTTTTCACTCATATGGAGACGCCACCATGCACTTGGCGGTGGAGAGATACAAATTTTGTCCTATTCTCAGCACTGAGGGCCATTGAGCAGTCCACGTCCCACAGTGGGATTAGAACCCACGACATAAGGATCAACTCCTTACTTCGCGACTGTAGAGCAGACGCTCTAACCATTGCTCCACGCGGGCGACCCTTATAGAAATATCGGTATCCCATTCGTTCTGAGGTGCTTTTAGATAAAATATCAAACTTGAGACGGAAACATAAATTCCCTAAAGCAACTTGTCTTTGTTAAAGAGTTTGATTTGAAAAACCTTCAAATAGGCAATTATAGTGGGTTTTTTTTAAACTTATTCGATACTCAAGAGCACGCTCGGAGTATGATCAGTTTATAAACTGGAGGCTACTGGCAGAAAAGTTAATGCCACGGGAAATTTCTACAACCTCGTTTAAAGCAGTGATGATAACTAGTATACTTGAGATGTATTTCGGAGTTGGGAAGGATGTCCGGTATACAAAGCGATACAGACAGGATCAGTTATAACATATGTGCATAATTGTATTATACAAAAATAGATTACATGTATCCATGCATGGTTAATTGTGTGAGGACGAAATGGATTTATTAAGCGTACTCGAGCTTACAATCTTACCAGGTACAGTTTGGATAAACATTTATTTGGTTATAAAGAGTGAATTTTTATTCATTTATTCATTAATTATTTTATGAGAGTGAATTGGTAAAGTAAAACACGATCATTAATTCAACTTTTATTTTAGACCAAAAACTGTTAGAAGATGCCCAAAGAATTCTAGAACAAGCCGCACAGTTTGATCTAGTAAGTTGGCTATTTTTCTAATGACTTCACAATTTTGTTGATTGTCTTATTTCGAGTAATTGATCGTGCTCCAAATTTTTTTTTTAAAATATATTGGACTCCCCAAATAATATAAATATTAAAAAAAAAAACGGCAACTTTTCTTTAAGCTTAAACTGTAATTAATATGATCAGAACAAACGTATTGAAAACCGTCAAAATATCAGATGCCAATATTTCAACTTTAGATCTGTAAATATACCAACATATAAATATTGCATGTAGGTGAGCCTAACATGAAAAAGCCATTATCAACCACGGGCATTGGAAGTAAATTTATGTAAATATAGGCCTATATGCACATCACAGGCACTTGTTTCTGTAATAAATTTTTGACCCATAGTATAATAATAACACGTGTTATTATTATACTATGGGTCAAAAATTTATTACAGTAACAAGTGCCTGTGATGCACATACTATAAATATTTACATTAACTTCCAGTGCCCGTGTTATCAACCGAGGCGGAGCCGTGGTTGACAGTGATTTTCGAGGGATGAAAATTTTCGATGTTACACTCAACTATACATGCAATATTTATTATATTAAACTGCACTTTTTAGACAAATACATACTATAGTCATTATTTCGCGCATAAATTCTGCGCAGTCAACATTTTTTGGAACATAAGCCGTCCTCAAGCAATGTAGACTTTTGCTACGCAAGAAGCGTGGCTTCATTTTTCAACTGTTTATAGTGGTTTTAACAAATGTTTCTCGACGAATTAGATTCAACCAATTTACATGAAAGTATAATATACTTTCCTGACTCAGCAATTATTAGCACCTGAGATAGTATTTTCTAAAGATTCGTAACTTTGAAAATAATTTTTAATGCTATTTACACCCATTGATTGATAAACATCCTGCTATCTTACAAGTTTTGTAATCCTGTTACAAGAATATTTCTAATAATTGTTAATTATGTTCTTGTCCTGATCGGTTCATAACCGAAAGTTCATACCCACAGAAAGTGAAAACTATCAATGTATCCTGTATCGACTTGTAACACGATTTGACCTTGTGTAAAATGAGAGACTGGAATAAGAGTACAATTCGGTGATTTCCAGAATTCTAAGTTGATATAAATAAACAATGGAAAAGACAGTTCCTATGTATTATTGTTTTACAAACAGCGTGACAGTTTGTTAGATGGGGCGTGCTAAAATTTAGTGACCTGATTTTCATTTTACTCAGTGATTGGATGCTTTATTTCAATGGAATCAATACTAATTTGCATATGAAACTCAGAATACAACAATATCCTGAGAATAGTGGCCAATCACATTGAATGCTTGTTCACCAGTGCGGCATTTGTACTCACCAGCAACACGTGGTCAGTTAAAGCCCGTTCTCTGTCCTCAAAAAAGCATGTATTATATTTGTTATGATTTGACCGGATGGTTTTATATACGTACAAGAAAATTCAAAGAATAGAATTAGTAAGGCTACTCTGCTGCTGCTATACTATGCAGCTATCAATATCATCATTGTAGGTTGTAAAACTTGCTCTGTCCGTCCACGTGTAACTGTTGTTTACTGCATGCTAGTAAACATGTGATTCAATACGATTGGTCAGTATTGTCAGTGGTATTGTTGGGTTCTATGTTTCATATGCAAAGTATTTTTGATTCCATTGAAATCAAACATCAAATCGATGAGTAAAATGATTATCAGCGTACAAAATTTTAGCACGCCCTATAAAACAAACTGTCACGCTGTTTGTAAAACAATAATAATGTACATCTCTTTAAGAATTCGTTGCCCTTTTTGTCTCGCCTGCGACGAATGTCGCGAAGCGAGACATAGCGACCATAGATTCCGTCGTCGTCGTCGTCGTCGGCGTCCAACTTTTGGTTAACCCAAATGTCAAAGTTTTATAAACTGCAATAACTTTCTCAAATTTTATTCAGTCTTCTTGAAATTTGGACACAATATTCAGTATGGATAAAAATTTATATCCCAAGTATGATTTTGAAAAAAAAAATTCAAATTTTTCCGTATTTTTTCCTTAAGTTGGACTTAGTTTTTTCATGATAATTTATGGTGAAGACCTATATTCCAGCAACTATAAGTTATAGGGATATGATAATTAGTCAGTGGATACATCATGGGTAACCACAAACGTCAGTACCAGAATTAGGTCATCTTGACCTACATTTTTCTGCATGAGTGACTTTGGTTAAATTTTTGGTGGAGGTCCATATCTCAGCATCCAACTTTTGGTTAACCCAAATGTCAAAGTTTTATAAACTGCAATAACTTTCTCAAATTTTATTCAGTCTTCTTGAAATTTGGACACAATATTCAGTATGGATAAAAATTTATATCCCAAGTATGATTTTGAAAAAAAAAATTCAAATTTTTCCGTATTTTTTCCTTAAGTTGGACTTAGTTTTTTCATGATAATTTATGGTGAAGACCTATATTCCAGCAACTATAAGTTATAGGGATATGATAATTAGTCAGTGGATACATCATGGGTAACCACAAACGTCAGTACCAGAATTAGGTCATCTTGACCTACATTTTTCTGCATGAGTGACTTTGGTTAAATTTTTGGTGGAGGTCCATATCTCAGCATCTATAACTTATAATGGCATGATGATTTGTCATTGTACAGGTTATAAGTAACCAACAACATCAGTACCAGAATTAGGTCATTTTGACCTACATTTTTCTGCATGAATGACTTTGGTTAAATTGATAATGGAGGTTCATATTTCAGCAACTATAACTTATAGTGGCATGATAGTTAGTCAGTGGATACATCATGGGTAACCACAAACGCCTGTACCAGAATTAGGTCATCTTGACCTACATTTTTCCGCATGAGTGACTTTGCATAAATTTATGGTGGAGGTCCATATCTCAGCAACTATAACTTATAGTGGCATGATAATTTGTCAGTGGATACATCATGGGTAACCACAAACGCCTGTACCAGAATTAGGTCATCTTGACCTACATTTTTCCGCATGAGTGACTTTGCATAAATTTATGGTGGAGGTCCATATCTCAGCAACTATAACTTATAGTGGCATGATAATTTGTCAGTCTACACATCATGGGTAACCAACAATATCAGTACCATAATTAGGTAATCTTCACCTACATTTTCTGCATGAATGACTTGATACATATACAGTGGATTTGATTTCAAAATGCAAGTTCAAATTATTGCGACTCATAACACGTTGCAATATTCGCAATAATAAAAACATCACAATAATTTGTGAATTTACAGGGTATATGTATATATATATAAATGCCAATATAATCGCCAAGGGATTAGATATTAAGTCAGCTGTTCCATTTCTTTATTATTGTATTTCAGGATTGTTTCCATTCTTTTACAGATATTTTTGTTACACAGTAGGTAAACATCAGTGTTTTCATTTTAAATGATTTAATACCTGGTGGCAAGATGTTCTTAATATTCTCATAATAAATAATTAACATTTCAAGCAAATATTTCACAAGAGAAATTTCACCTTTTCAGGGAAGACAGGAATTCTATTAAATGTTTAATCTTGATTGTGTGCATGTAATGAAGGCATTTTCAACAAGGGTTCTGTGAGAACATTTGTTATCCCTTTAGGGCTCTTCCAGAAAAAAATACCGAGAAGGGTCGAAACTCCATTAAATTTTATAAACCTAAGTGGGGGTGTTTCACCAGTATCACTATTGTTAGTCATTACAGAAAACAAATAAAATTCTGTTGGTGGTTCCCCAAAATAAAAATGGAGTTCCGACCCCTCTGGTATTTTTTCCTGCAAAAGCCCTTAATATTAATAATAATTAATTCTAACTTCTCCTTATAGCATTTATTTTTTGCAGGTATTATTAAATGCACCAAAACATTTTGCATGATCACAGTTATTAACTCATCGATTACAGTACTTTATGAAATGTTCAACATGTTTTTCATCAGATCATCACTGCCTTTATCATAATTGTGAATATGCAGAATTAAAAATATATACATATATATATCTAAATTTATATTGAAGGATTGTAAAATGGAAATTTCTTTATATTCATATTTCTTTATTCTCATTTATATTCATATTTCTTTATTCTCATTTATATTAAATACTAAATTTATGTTACCTTTGCATCAACATACAACTCATTGCTTATACTATTGTGTGTCCCATCTTACCAGAAAGTGGTTTTTCGGCAATATTTATTTTTGCTGTAAAGTGTGTGAATAAATAAAGTTACAGTACCTTTCATATCCAGGACTCGTAATAAAAAAATGTTTTTTATTGTCCTAAAAGCTCAACCATTTCCTGCTACAACAAATTTCCAGTTTTTCCTGTTCAAAATCGTATTTTCACAGCAAAACATAACGTCACAGTAAACAATATGACGTCATGATGTCGGGAAAAGATATGATTCTTAAACTTCTTACCTTTGATTAACATTTCATCATCGTTTGATAAAATCATGTTTCGCAAAAAACATGTTTTTTGCAGTATTATTTGCGCCAAGATTTTGGTTTCGCATGCGTGTGGGACACACAGTAGTAATAGTTTGTGTACATAAATGAACTATTTTGAAGTTCATTTGTGTAACTTTTACTTATCATTTAACACATACAACATTACTGTTATGTTTTGTTACAGAAGTATGAAGAGGCATCAACATTTCCTACTTGGCAACAGAGGAGCTCACCTCTACAATGGAAACATACAGTGTAAACACTGCAAGAAACAATATAAAACAGAAAAGACACTGCTGAAACACAAGTGCTCGTATTGTGCGAACTGTAATGTTGTCTACTCGTCATTCCGAAGATTTCAGTCCCACAAATGCAAGTCTGATGCTAACACCTGTAAGGATTGCCTAAAGACATTTAAAGATAAGAAACATATGGATCAACACGCATGTAGTTTCTGCTCCAAGTGTGCCACAATATTTGCTTCACACCAGAAACTGAAGAGACATAAATGTAA